TCAGTTTTAGCAGCGGCTGAATCGGGGAAGCTGGGGGCAGAGCAGCTCCAATGGTCTGGCTGCCCGGAGAACTTCCGGGTTCCTGATGGTGCCGGACCATCAGGAGTGCCAGACCATCAGATGCTGGACCATCGGAGTTTTACTGTACTGTGGTTGGGGGCAAAAATGGGAAGAAAGCAGCAACCTGCCTGAGCTCCTTGTTAAGCTACGCTCTTTTCCGCAAATGCTTTTAACGGAAAAACTTTTCCGTTAAAAGCATTTGCGGAAAAGAGCGTCTAGATTGGCACGGTCACTTTTCTGCAAAAAAGCACTTTTTGCGGAAAAGCGTCTGTGCCAATCTAGACGCGGTTTTGCGCAAGAAAGCCCCGATCGCCATTTTCGCCATCGAGGCTTTTTTGCGCAAAACAATTTTTAGCTGTCTACACTGGCCCTCTTGCGCAAAAATATTTCCCGAAAAGGGCTTTTGCCCGAACGGGAACGTCAAAACATTTGCACAAGAAGCACTGATTTCGGACAGTAGAACATCAGTGCTTTTGCGCAAAATCAAGCGGCTGGTATAGACAGCTGGCACGTTTTTAAACTTGCTAGTCTAGACGCAGCCTTGGACTATAGACCTGATTAGCTGTGCTTCCTCCATGGGTGAGGAAACAATAAAATGGAAATGTGTTGGGGAGGAAGAAGATTTCTAGGAAGTGTCCCCATTCATACACACACACCCCATTCCCAAGTCCAAATGAACTGCCTGCTCTGAACTAGGGATGTTAAATTTAGATTAACTGGCTAATCGACTACTTGATGCAATTTGCATCGAATATTCAATTAGTCAATAAGGGCACCTCTGCCTCTGAAGTGAAGCATCAGCCCCATGGCATTTCAAAGGGGCAGCGCTGCATAGAGCCCAGATCAGTGGAGGAGTTCCCAGCTGACCCCAGGCTCCATGCAGCACTGCCACTTTGAAATGCTGCGTGCCCTGGGCTGCACGCAGCGTTTCAAAGCAGCATACCCTGCACTCCATTCAGTGCTGAGGACTGCATGTGGCATTTCAAAGCAGCAGCACAATGTGGAGCCCAGGGTCTGGGCCTAGACTCCATGTGGCACTGCCACTTTGAAGCACGCTCCCCTTTACCCCCAACCTTGCTGCCTCTTTCTGAAAGAGGCAGCAAGGGGGGGGGGGGCAAAGTGACTAGTTGACTAGTTTGTTGACTATCTCTGATAAGCATTTCCTTATCAGATAGTCAACCAGTTGTCCACATCCCTACTCTGAACTAAGAAAGAAGGCTTAAACTATTGTCAGAGGCTTCTTCTGTAGCAAGACTAGTTTTGTTCTTATTTATTTGCTTCTGGACAACTGGAAACTAACAAAAAAAAGAAACTGGCCTTGTTTTTTGTTGTTTGGGTATTTTTGGGAGAAAAAAGTTACGGAAGAACAATTGTAGGGCATGAGCCCAAGCCCTCACACTGCAACTGTATCCGTGTGTGAATTTCAAATCATAATTATGTCTTTAAAAAAATTCTAGTATCTTCATTTGCATAGTCTATGAAAAAGCTTCATCTACCTCCAAGATTCCCAGTGACTTTAACAAGTTGTAGCAGACCTTTCTTCCTAGAAGTGTTAATATTTTAACCAAGAACAAAATAGCAGAGAAGGCAGGATCCTTGCTTTTCGAGCAGTGGTTCTCAATCTATTTACCACTGTGGGCCACATTCAATACTACCTGTATAGCTCTAGGAATGTCATGTGGGCCAACCTACAACTGTGTACTCATGGGCTGCAGATTGAGAACCATTGTGAGTATGTCTGTCTATATAAAAACATGTATCTGGGTTATAACTTAAAACCAAATTCAACATAATGTATCTATCTAAATACAACTAGAGCTTGTACCAACCTGAGGAGGTCCATGCCTAGGAGTGCTTCATTATCCGAGACTTCTTCTCGTCCCCACACTGCTTCATTCCCAATACAAACTCCATGTTCATTGGCTCCCATTTCAGCACCCCATAACCAAGATGGACGACTCAGAACAACTGCATGCGTTTTTTCTGCTTGCTCAATTTCTATATAAGTGCACTGCAACATCAACCATGGCATGAGAAGTGTAACAAAAAAATCAAAATAGTATTTAATGCATGCAGGGCCTGAAAGTTCCTGTTCAAATGGATTTCCTCTCTGAGGAGAGTTCCCAACAATAATCAACAAAATAATATTTTACTTAAAATTCCTAGGGTTGCCAACTCTCTCACCTGGATGGACTGAATGCTATTTGCACAATGGCATCTGGTCCATTTGGTTAGGAGAGATGGTAACTCTAAAAATTCCCCCTCTTCTTCTTATTCCCACAAAATTAGGCAACAAAATGGCAGGATAATTTTCAAGTTGATAAATATAAAAATGTATATTGGAAAACATAACTATATGTACAAAATGATGGGAACAAAATTAGCTATAACCACTCAAGAGAGATGAAGTCATTGTGGATAGTTCTCTGAAAACATCCACTCAGCAGGCAGCAGCAGTCAAAAAAGCAAAGAGAATGTTAGGAATCATTAAAAAGGGGATATAGAACAACCAAATCTCTTGTTGCCTCTACATATCTATGGTACGCCCACATCCATGAATACTGCATGGAGATGTAGTCACCTCATCTCAAAAAAGATATGTTGGCAAAAAGTTCAGAAAAGGGTAACAAAAATTATTAAGGGTTTGGAAAAGTTGCCATATGAGGAGAGATTAATAAAACTGGGGAAAGAGGAAACAAAGGGGGATATGATAGAGGTCAATAAAATCATGAATCGTGTGGAGAAAGTAAAAAAGGAAAAGTTATTTACTTGTTCCCATAACACAAGATCTAGGGATACTAAATGAAATTAATAGGTACAGGTTGATCCTCTCTTGTCCAGGACTCCCCTGGTCCAGCAACATCCTTGGTTCGGCAGGACCATAGATGCTGCTAGACCAGAGACCCCAGTTGCAGAGGTTGAGTGTGTCTGAGAGCGAAGCCAGTCTGGTCAGCAGTAGCCTGCTGGGGCGGTGACCTGGACATAGAGAGCCCTGGGAGCAGCTGCCGCCCAGCTGCTTCCAAGATTCTGGAGAATCCCGGGAGCAGCTGATGCCGCTCATGGGGCCGGGAAACCCTTGAAGCATCTGTCCTGCCACATGACTGGGGCAAAGGCTGGGGAACCCCAGGAGCAGCTGCAGCTGCCGCAGGTGAGACTAGATAACCTCTGAAACAGCTGCCCTGCTGCGCATGGGGCTGGGACTGGGGAACTCTGAGAGCAGCTGCTGCCTCACGTGGAGCTAGGGGCAGGGAGCAGAGACCCACAAGTGGGTATGGGGCAGCAGACCCAGGCAAGTGTGCCAGAGGTCAGGTCTCTAGATTCTCCTGGGGCAGCTGCCAAGATGGAAGCACCGGGCAAGCCCAGATGCCTGACCTCCCCTAGTCTGGCAAATTCCCTTGTTTGGGACCACTCCGATCGCCAGGGTGCCGAACAAGGGAGGCTCAACCTGTTGCAGGTTTTATTAAAAACAAAAGGAAATATTTCTTCCAATATTGTTAACCTGAGGAACTCCTTTCCAAAGGATATTATGAAGACCAGGACTTTAACAGCGTTCAAAAAAAAACTAGATAAATTCACGGAGGATAGGTCCATCAATGGCTATTAACCAGAATGGTTAGGAATGGTATACCTAGCCTCTGTTTGTCAGAAACTGGGAATGGGTGACAGGGAAAGGATCACTTGATGATTCCCTGTTGTGTTCATTCCCTCTGGGGCAACTGGCATTAGACACTGTCAGAAAACAGGATACTGGGCTAGATGGACCTTTGGTCTGACCCAATATGACTGTTCTTATTAAGGATGTAAAAAGTAAGTTAAAAGGGTAACTATGTAACTGCTGAAAATCTTAGCAGATACCCAGTTATACATATGGCAGACTCTTATTTAAGCTTTATACCACAAAGCCTGCAGCAAAGCCTCCCTGAGACTGCCAGCCCTGCTCTTGGGGAGCCAGCATGTAACCTGCAGTGGGGGTGCTGGGCCAGGCCTGTCACAGACAAGGGATGACCTGGCTGCTCAGAGCAGCACCTGCCTGCCATGGGCCTGGTGGGAATGGAGCAGCCCCTTGCCTGAGGTGGGCAGGGAGGTGTTCCAGCTGCTATGGTTAACCGGAACAGGCAAGCATTACCCATTTAGGGTGATGCTTTCCAGTTCGCTGGTTAACCAGTTAACCTTTCACATCCCTAGTTCTTATGTATGTTTTAAAACACTGAATAGTAAACTAGGGATGTTAGCATGTAATTGAATAGTCATATAACCACATGAAATTTTAGCAGTTACACAACTATTTCATAGTCTCCAGAGCCGGGGCCAGCAGCCTGTGTGCTCCTGACCCCACTCCTGGGGAGCCCCTGCTGCCTCACGATGCTGCCTCTCTATCAGAGGCAGCATCATGGGGGGAAGGCAGGAGCCGGTCCATGAGGGGAGACAGTTTAAAAACTAGCTCCCTGCACAGACCGGCTCACACCTGATGCCACGCATTGCTGCCTGTGATACAGAGGCAGCAGCATGGAGTTCGGACATCTCCCCACACAGAGGCTCCTCTATGGCAGCAGCTCCTGTCCACAGGGATCATGGACCCCCTGTGGACACTGGCTGCTTTGTGGCAGCCTCCCCTGCATTCCACCCCCACTAGTGTAGGGGGGAGGCAGCACCACGGTGCTGGGGGGAACCTGCTTTTAAGTTGGCTCCTACCAGCACTGGTTCCTGCCTGTCTCCCTGCCCCCACCGCGTATTGGCCCCCACCTGCCCCCCTCACCCTTCACAGTGCTGCCTATCAGAGGAAGCAGTGGGGGAGGGGCAGGTGGATCCAGGGCTAGTGGGGAGCTGGCTTTTAAGCCAGCTCCTTATGGGCACTGGCTCCTGCTCCCCCTCTTGCTGCCTCTGATGTAGAGGCAGTGGAGGCGGGAGTAAATGACAAGATTAACCAATAGGCCCAGGCTTATCGGTTAATTGTGTAGTTGTCTACACACTGACATCCCTATAGTAAACTATCATTAAAAACATAAATTAAATAGAAATCTATATCTATGCTTAGTGAAGTAATATAATTAATAGAAACAAGTTTTCTTTAAGAGTTCTCCATTCTTAATTTTCATAAGACAAAAGAATATATGGTATCTGGTTTCCTGTTCAAATGTTTAAAGGAATACTGCTGGCATATACTTTGGCTCCCCAAACTCTATTTTAATGTAGTTCTCCAAACAAGGTTATTTGGATTGTTAACATAGCTAGAGAGCTAGTTACCTACACATTTCAAAAGGCCTGCAAAACTAGCTTCTATGGTGCAAGAGACTCCTGGGTTTAGATTCTCTGCTGTAGGTGCTGTTGAGTATCTATAAATAAACTACCATGCTTCTAACAGCAGACTTCATTACCAAAGGCCAAACATTAGTACAGGACCCATAAAAAGTGGGTTTACAGTGGGTCAAATTGAACAGAGTTCTCAAAAGCAGAATCTGAAGGGATGCATTGAGCGACTTTCGCTGTACTAACTCACTGGTACTCACAATTGGGGGTATGTTTTGATGGAGGCTTATGATCCTGCTGTGCTATTACACAGCAGTACAAAATGTACACTATTTTACATTAGTGCTAGGCCAAATGTAGGAGATTTTTTTTTAAAAACCTGCTATTTAATTCTTTCCTATTTTTACTGTGGCATGGACAAGCACCCTTGGTTTCTGCTCAAGAGCACTTTGCTCTTACCTCCAGCTTCTCTCCTGCCTGATAGGAAGCAGCAGGGAAGTAGACTATCTCTTGCACTTCATCAGACGGTCTATCTGAATTTTTTCCAAAAATAACCCGGCTGTCAACTGTGGCTGGAGGCAGCGCCACAAACGTGTCACAGGAGCGAGGCCCGCTGGTTCCCGAAGCCATGCTGGACATAGACGCGCGCACACTTCACTTAAAATCCGTTCCGGGTGACCTGAGCCGAGGCAAGGGAAGTAGACTATCTCTTGCACTTCATCAGACGGTCTATCTGAATTTTTTCCAAAAATAACCCGGCTGTCAACTGTGGCTGGAGGCAGCGCCACAAACGTGTCACAGGAGCGAGGCCCGCTGGTTCCCGAAGCCATGCTGGACATAGACGCGCGCACACTTCACTTAAAATCCGTTCCGGGTGACCTGAGCCGAGGCAATGCGGGCGGGCGGCCCCACAGGCAGCTGAAGCCGGGCCCCCTTCTCCCCC